ATAGATGACAAAGGTAGAAGATAGTACTTTCTTTTATTGTTTAAGAGAAAAGAACTTTTTTGATAACTAAGAAAAGAACTTTGAATTAGGGCTTGGATTGGGTTTAAAAGAAGGGGCAAGATGAATCATTTTGAAAAGTTTTAGAGACATTTAGGCCATGTTTGGTTCACTGCTCTAGACCTCATTCTTTTAATTCTTGTTCATTTTGGGAAAGAATGAATAACATTAGAGTGTTTGGTGACAAAATTCTTGCCATGGGCCACATTCTTTTTAGAATGAAAAATCAGTCCATAACACAAAAATTGAGATAGCCTGCACCATGAAAAATAATCATGCCTCATCTTGCTCATTTTCATTCTTTAAAGAAACTTTGCCTATAAAATTGCTGTCGTAGATATTTACTAGCARATTATCGTGGAAGTGCTTTTACGAAAGTACTTTTACATGAAAACACTTTTGTAAAAGTACTTTTGTGAAAGCATTTTTGTAAAATAACTTTTACGAAAGTACTTTTATAAAAGTACTTTTATGAAAGTACATTTATAGAAGCACTTTTACCAAATGTACTTTTACAAAGCACTTTTATGAAAGAACTTTTATGAGAGTACTTTTATCAAAGTATTTTTATGAAAAGTACTTTTATAAAAGTACTTTCACATAGGACACTTGTCAGTTTAAAAAGAATTCATTTTTAGGAAAAAAGAGTTTGCTTCATAGCAATATTTTCTCATTATGCGTATTTTAACTCATTCTTGTCCATTTTAGAATTTCATCTTAAATAAGAATAAAAAAGAATATGAATTGAACCAAACATGACCTTAGGGTTTTGGTCAAGCTCTGAAATGTGTATAATCAGGTTAAGTGATTGTGGATGCCTCACAAGATTTTTAGACATTAATTAGATGTATAAAAAATGTTATCAAATGTCACATAAGAAGCTAATCCAAAAGATAAGCATACACGCGTGTTGATGTTATTTAAAATTTAGGATAAATGTGCTTGGTTTGGATATGTGAGAAGAGGGTTAATATAGTAATTTCATCGAGCAATTAGAAGAGAACCTCTTTCGACAACTATTAACTTGTGTCCATCACCACAGTGTTGGGACCTTAAGACATTGTGCCCATATTTGTGTTTTTCAATGACATGGGTATGTTTTTTCTTTTCTTATCATGTTTTGTGCTTTTCTTATCAAAGAAGTCGAAGTCTATCATACTCTAGGTTAAAATTAAGACCAAAAACAAATTCTTAGAACCATTGTGCCAAACCACATTAATTTTGAGAATCAAAATCATAAAGAATTTGCTCTAAAAAAAATTATTATTAGAACTAGAAATAAATAGAATTGATGCTATATAAGGCCTTAATCTCCCATTAGGGCCTTGTTTGTTTCCTGGCAAACAGAAGCAAGTAAGTTATCGTGAGAGTTTACCAATTTATCCACATCCATTTTTTGATATTCTCATAGGAAAAGATGATCCCCAAGTAGTTAGTTACCTAGGTAAGTATTACCCTCCACTGGGTAAATAACTTTCCTATCTGTATGGAAAATTGCTGCCACATGATGGGACCCTTTGGCTGCATTTGGAAGCAATATAAAAATTCATCAATGAGGCTTTACACTGTACCATAAAAAAGTTACTTTTCAGCTTAAAAAAGCGTGGAGTTTTTACATCAATTTTATTAATGTAGTATTTACATTGATAATCCATGTAAAACTCCACTCCATCCAAACGTCCATAAATCTAAACTGGAGTGAAGTTTTTTGTCGATCTTGATTTACACTCCATCCAAACAATGACCAAACCAAACTGATGTAAACTTTTACATCAATGACGTTTCACATTGCTTCCAAACATAGGCTTCAATAATGACACTTTTATGGATAAAAACAATTATTGTTTAGCTTTACATGGGAAATAAAAAGAACACTTGTCAAATAAGTATTTTCCAAGAAACATTTGCTTGGATAAGCACATTTATCCAAATAAATGGTTTCCCAAAAATGAATGAGGCCTAGGAGTAAGATGGTATTCAAATATCTGATTTTGTATTTGAGATTTGACATAATTGAATCTTAATGGGAGAATTCGGATATGCTTATTAATTAAATTTCCATATGAAATTTGCACCATTTATTTTATTACTTCAAATTTAAATTAAATATAATTTGATTCGATTGGATAAATATTTGAATCGATTATTTATATTATATAAAGCGGATTTGGCCTTTATATTAGTGAAAGTCATAAAAATTAAATTTGATATTAACTTGTATCCTTTCCATTTAACATGTGCCCATGCACTAGTAATATTAATTTACACATTTGAGATGACCTAAATACCCATTATTTGTCTCTAATAAATTTTATTCTATTATAGGTTTTTTCTTTATTTTATAAAGGATATAGTGAAAAAATCAATCGAATCTGATTTAGATTCTAATCTTCAAACTAATTGACTGAATTCAATTTGACTTTTTAAGGATCTATCAGATACCATATCAAATTCGATATTGCATATTACCTGATTCACTTCAAATTCACCCTATTTACACATCTATTACTCACAACTCTTCGCACTTCCCGGATCTTATTTTTATTTTGTTTTGTTTTGTTTTGCTTTTTTCCTTCAATGGGATATACAACGGGGATAACGTGTCCCCTATGCACAATGGTACAAGGAGCAAGGACCCTAACCCTTGTGATTGTAGTAGGAGTGATTATGGGCTGGACTGGGCCGGGCTTTACATTTATGATAAGKGTTATAGCCTAGGCCTGGGCCCGGCTCAGCCCAGCCCGGGGTTTCGAGTCTGAAACATAAGCCCTAGTCCATGTCTATACAGGTTCGGGCTTGATTGTAGGCCAATGTCTTTCGTATATATAAAACATTACATATTTATAATATTTTATATTAAATGACATAATATGCATATAAACTTATTTTATACATTATATAATATAAAATATATAATATAATATAAAATAACTTATATACATATGTATATATGATATAGGCCGGACCCAGCCTGGCCGGGCTTGAAGTATGAAGCCCAAGCCYGACTCTAAAATTTGCGGGTCTGATGCGGGCTCGGGTTCGGGCCGGGCCTAAACACAAAACTCAAGCCCAAATTCGGAATTTCCGGGCCAGGCTGAAATGATCACACCTAGATTGTAGGAYTTGATCCCAAGTGCCCATATAGATGGTTTCCACATAGCGCGACTTTTGACATCTAAGGAAGAATTTATATAGAAAACCGTGAAGATATGTTTGGTGAAGACCTGAAAAGCCAAAGAAGGTTTAAGAATGATATGTTGGCTGATTATATATCATTTTAGGGGTGAGCATTTATTGGATTTAAAATCGAATTGAATAAATCAAAATTTAAAAAATTGAAATAAAAAGATGAAAACTGAATTGAAATCGAATTACAAAAAAACTGAAATTTTTAGTTCAGTTTTCAGTTATTTCGATTAAAAACAAAAATTAATTAATATACATAAAATATTATATATTATAACCTATAATATATATTATATATTATGAAATTGAATTTTATTATAATACACTATATATAATATATTAATATATAAATATATAGCATATTATATATTATATGTAATATATTATATATTATATAATGATTTTCAGTTAATTCGATTAATCAAATTTCTAACTCTGAAAATCAAAACCGAAAACCCAAATTCCTAAAAATAAAATTAATTAAACCGAATTACCTRAAAACCAAAAAACCGAATTACTTTCTCTCTCTCTCCTTACAAATTTGGTCTAGAACTCCATCCTTTTCACAAGAAGACTGTATCTTAAGGTATTGTAACTTGAGCAACTAGTTGAATGAAATCGTCTTATCAGACTTCAAAGCTCTTTCCGTACCATGTCTTTCCGGATTCTCCAACACTCTTTACATTGAACTCAGCAATCATCGGTGAAGCCAGTTTTAGTAACTTCAAAGCAACTCTCAGTCAACGCGGCTCAATCAACACCGAAGCCCTCATTCCCCAAACAGGCCCCAAATCTCCGCCACAACTAGCGAGAGAACTTACGAAGTGAGCCAGTTGGCACCGTCATACTTGTTGGATCTCGAGCTCGAGGACCTTGGGGTTTTTGTGCTTCATACGGAAAGAAAGATATAGTGTCAWATCCACTCTTTGCAAAACTGATACTGTGCATCAAACACGTAAGTTTTTCAGTACGGCATCATACTTTCAGAGCATCGAACGGCCACTAGAGATCAACAATGTCCAAGAATTTGCACCTCACTGCGTGGGCCCCACACTCCGTCGTTGTCTGGCACCCATACTGAACTAGAACGCGCTATCCACTACACGTCTCAGGTAAAATTGTCAAAATTCTATGCTTACGGCTTACGGGAAAGACCGCTCCCGTCCTTCGGTTGTCCGTGCTTGTTCGTATTCTACCAGAACAGCGCTTTGGCCGGCAAGTGGCACTCTAAATGACGAAAATAACCATTGGGGAGCAATGTCAGAATCATGATATCTTGTAGCAACGATCCATGAAAATGTTTTCACATCAGCCAACCATCGACGTCAGATGGCGAATGAGACTTCGTACGCTTGGGCCCACAAGTCGTTGATTGATTACAGCCTGATTACGAACTTACGATGCTTCGAGTACTCGCTTTTGTAGGCTTCAATCAATGACTTCAAGTCTTCAACTTGAAAAAAAGAATATTATCACATCTTGCAATGATAAAAGATCTACAAGTGATATCCACGTGGCACAAATCTCCATCCTTGATCACAACATCCATCTCAAGTGCCGTTCTTGTTCTTTCCTTTCGGAGACCAGAGTGGGACCCTGTAATGGTGGGTTCAAATTTTGTCTGAAGAGTGGTTTGATATCTGCCGGTCAACCAGGTCCCACCGTCAAAACAAACGAGTCTAAGTTATTTGGAATCTTTTCACATCGTTGAAATACGTAGATACATGTTAGAATTGCTTCTCTGTTTTACCAAAGCCCTTGGGATTTCGGTGTTTCACAGATGTTACGATATCTTGTCTGCTTGTTGAATTCGTGTATTGATTCTTCCCTTCAGTTCACTGAGATCACGGCCTCCTTGTGGCGGTCACATCTCTCTCTCTCTCTGTCGGAGAAAAATGGAAAGCTAAAAAATAAAATAAAAAAATAAAGCCAATCTCGTCGACATTCCTATATGCTATATCTACTGTCGCTTTTCCAGCTTGTGTTTCTCTCGACAGGGCACAACGTCTGAACGTCCTCCTCTCTTTGCTGAAGGAGAAGGCGTAGAACGAAGTTCTTTTTCGGGTTTCTGACGATTTTTCTTCAGCAAAATAAGGTACTTGATTTTCAGAGTTAGGTCAGCAGATATTGCAATGCAATGTTTTCTAAATTCATGTTTTGTTCTGTAAGATCTGGGTGAGATTGATTCTTAGTGTTGCTTTGGGGTTTTCCTGTTTGGTTTCTCGCTCCTCGACTGGAGATGTTAAGATTTTGTTTTTTCCTTGTTCCATGAAGATGTTGAAATGTTATAGTTTCAAGGGATTTGATACGGATCTAGTGACTAGTGTATTTCGGTTTGTTCGATTCGCTTTCTGTTCTAATTTCATTTCTTTTAGCTGAAGGAAGTGTCTAATCTGTTTTGCTTTATGTTAGTATGGATTTTTGATAAATTTCGTGTTTAAATGTTTTGCTCTGCGTGTATTCTTGCGGGATTTGGTGTAGATCCGGAGTGATTTGATGTGATCGAGCTGGCTTCCTGTTTCGAATATCTTATTTTGAAACGCGAAAGTTCGAGTTTTTCGCATTGTCAATCAACTTGGATATTTAGTATTCTTGTGCAATTTTATGCCATTTTTTGTTATCTTGTACTATGTTCTTCGTATTTTGTTTGGGCACATATAAAATTTCCGTGATTCGTCCTTTCTGTACTCTTTGGATTTTCAATTGATCCATGTTTCTGTTTTTCTGCCTCCTTAAACGATTTAAAGCTTCGATTTTTTTTTTGTTTGTTTTTCCATTGCGGTTGGAAGATGTTCTTCTACGTTTTTGTTCCTGCAGTTTTGTTTCAGTGCTTATTTATTATTTTGTATAACTATCTAGTTCTTGTTGATCTAGTTATATAATGATTTCGTCTCACAGTATAGATTCCTATCCCCTCTCATGTATCTATTTTGATATTAGAACAGCTGTTGGAATGTAATATTACCTGATTTCTATATTTTATTAGATCTGTTATATTGGTATGCTATAGAGATGGTGTACTTATCTTTGGTGTGGTGTTTAATTTTCTGTTTTTGCTCTGCCTCCAGGTATTGAGTTTCAGGGGATTCTTATCATATATGTAGGAAAATGGCATTTGGAAAAAATGCCAGAGTGGACAGTAGGCGGTCATCATCTACCTACTGTTCAACAGTGACCCTTGTTGCATTTGTTGCTCTTTGCTTGGTTGGTGTTTGGATGATGGCATCATCAAATGTAGTTCCTGTTCAAAATATAGACATGTCTTCTTCAGAAACCAACAATGAAGTGAAACAAGTTACCGAGAGTTCTGCGCAATTTGAAGATAGCCCTGGTGATTTACCTGAAGATTCAGTGAAAAGAGACAACAGTGCCAACAATCTTCAGGATGAAAGCAAAACTGATGGTCAGGATAATCAAAACCCACCTGAGCAAACAATTAATATTGAGCAAAAGCAGGAAGAGAAATCTGAGGAGAGTGAGAACAAGAAGATTGAAGAGGATTCCAATACTGAGAAGGAAAAGGATGAGGATAAGAAGACTGAAGAGGATTCCAAAAGTGAGAAGGAAAGGGATGAAGATAAGAAGACTGAAGAGGATTCCAAAACTGAGAAGGAAAAGGACGAGGATAAGAAGACTGAAGAGGACTCCAAAATTGAGAAGGAAAAGGATGGGGATGAGAAGGCGGATGTTGAGGAGTCAAAGGAGGAAAATGGAGAGCCAAATTCAGGAGGAGAAACAAAGATAGAAGGTGGTGAAACAAATTCTGTGGAACAGACAGAATCTGAGGCCAGCTCGGGTGAGAAGAATCCAGAATTGAATGAGAGTGAGAAGAGGTCAGAATCGGAGGAGAACTCAGGTGAAACAAAGCAAGAGGACAAAGTGGATGGTAAGATAGAGGAGAAAGTGGTGCAAGATCAAGAGAAAGAGAAGGACCAAASCTCAGATGTGAATGACAAGGATGGCCAGGTCTTCAATGAGGTATTTCCTGCTGGATCACAGTCCGAAATTCTTAATGAGACCACCACTCAAAATGGGGCGTTTTCAACTCAAGCTCTGGAGTCAAAAAATGAGAAGGAATCACAAAAGTCCACAGACCAGAAGGGGTACGGCTGGAAGCTTTGTAATGTAACTGCTGGTCCAGATTATATCCCTTGTCTTGACAATTTGCTAGCTATTAGAAAGCTTCGAAGTACCAAACACTATGAACATCGAGAAAGGCACTGCCCTGAGGAAGCCCCTACCTGCCTTGTTCCTCTACCTGAAGGATACAGGAGCTCAATTAAGTGGCCTAAAAGCAGGGAAAAGGTATACCAACTATACACATAATTCTGTTGAAGTAATCTTCTTCATAAGCATTACTCTAACTAGGCAATACTTAATTTTGAGTCTCTTTCAGATCTGGTACTACAATGTTCCTCACACCAAGCTTGCAGAGGTAAAGGGGCACCAAAACTGGGTGAAAGTTTCTGGCGAGTATCTTACTTTTCCTGGTGGTGGAACTCAGTTTAAGTTTGGCGCTCCTCATTACATCGATTTCATTCAGGAGGTAAGTGTAGCACCCTCGTTACTATTGCTGTACATTATGCTACTATTCTGAAATATCCTTTTCTATCAAGGAAATGTTCATAACAGCATGTTTAGGTCTTCATAATATGTCCTTATCATTCTGAAGTACAGCACTGTTGTTTGGTAGTTTTCTGTCATTCCTTTCTTATCTGTCTGTGCGACTGTGCATCACATGTTTTCATTTGGTAGAGTTCTTTCTCTACCATTTCCAACAATGTGCACATCCTGAACACCCAATAAACTGTTGGTTGCTGGATTTTTGGTTGATGTCTTCTTTTTCTTTTTCTTATTTTTGCATAACATGTATATGTATAACTGCCACTGCAGTCTGTCTCTGGCATAGCATGGGGAAAACACACACGTGTGGTATTGGATGTTGGGTGTGGAGTAGCCAGCTTTGGAGGATATCTCTTTGATAAAGATGTCCTTACCATGTCATTTGCTCCTAAGGATGAACATGAAGCACAAGTGCAGTTTGCCTTGGAAAGGGGTATCCCTGCCATTTCAGCTGTGATGGGCACCAAAAGGCTACCTTTTCCTAGTAAGGTGTTTGATGTTGTGCACTGTGCACGCTGTAGGGTACCCTGGCACATTGAAGGTATTTTCTATTTTGCAACCCTTTAATCTGATAGCTTGGTTTTCAGTTTAGACATTCTATTCTGTTTGAGACAATGATGGCAAGAAAAAATATGCAGGTGGTAAGCTTCTCTTAGAGCTGAACCGTGTTTTGCGGCCTGGTGGTTACTTTGTGTGGTCGGCTACTCCAGTTTACCAAAAAACGGAGGAAGATGTTGGGATCTGGAAAGGTAGACCATAGACTACTTTCTTTGACCCATTCTCTGTGTTTCGCGTGGTGAGTAAATGAATTGGCCTAACAGCTGTGCTCTTTCTTGGATATTTATGGCCAGCTATGTCTGAACTGACGAAATCGATGTGCTGGGATTTGGTTACAATTAAAAAGGACAAGTTGAATAAAGTTGGTGTTGCAATATATAGGAAGCCTTCTACTAACACTTGCTATGAGACAAGACCACAGAATGAGCCTCCACTGTGCCAAGAATCTGATGATGCAGATGCAGCTTGGTACATTTACCTTTACCCAAGTGGATTTTACGTGTTAATTTCTCTATTCTCTACATAGTAATATATCCTTTTATTATGGTCTTTATATTTTTGCATGTGTATATGCATAGGAATGTGCCATTGCAGACATGTATGCACAGAGTGCCAGTTGATTTGTTAGTGCGTGGTTCTAAATGGCCAGAACAGTGGCCAGAAAGACTTGAGAAACCACCTTATTGGCTGAAAAGTTCTCAGACTGGTGTCTATGGAAAGCCAGCACCTGAAGATTTCAAAGTGGACTATGAGCACTGGAAGCGTGTTGTAACCAAGTCTTATCTGAAAGGGATGAGCATCAACTGGTCTTCTGTCAGAAATGTTATGGACATGAGATCAATTTATGGAGGGTAAGCAAAATGACCTTAAAAGTTGCATCCTATCAACAAAAATAATTACCATTCTTTCTAGTTATTTCATTCCTTGCAGTTGAAAACTTGTAGTTTGGCTTCCATTCCCTTATCTGTATACAGTATACCAATTCTGCTTTTCCACGTCTTTCTTTGCAGTTTTGCTGCAGCACTTAGAGACCTGAACGTGTGGGTTATGAATGTGGTCACCATAGATTCACCTGACACACTTCCCATCATTTATGAACGGGGTCTGTTCGGGATGTACCATGATTGGTGTGAATCATTCAGCACATATCCTAGATCTTATGACCTTGTCCATGCTGATCATCTCTTCTCCAAGGCCAAAAAGAGGTTATTTTCCTACCACTTTTGTTCTTTTCAAGCGTTAAGCTTCTCAACAAAGGGAAATTCCATAATTCCAGTTGCTCATGGTGGCATCTGTTAATTTCATAATCTATGTTCTGCAGGTGCACCTTAGTGGCAGTGGTTGCAGAGGTTGATAGAATACTGCGGCCAGAAGGAAAGCTGATTGTACGTGACAATATTGAGACCATTGTCGAGTTGGAGAACATGGCGAGATCTCTGCAGTGGGACATCCGCTTGAAATACTCACAGGATAAGGAAGGATTGCTTTGTGTCCAAAAGACCTTGTGGCGGCCCACACAGCAAGAGATGATCACATATGCCATTGATTAAGCAATTAAGGACCAGTCGTTTTTACAGCAGAGCTCGAAGACTGCCAAGCTGGAGATTGGATATTCTTTTGTTAGCGTTGCTTGGTCCCAATTTTAATTTATGATGGTTGTATTCTGTATCCTACCTAGTCCATGTATTATTGTCAGTTGCTGCTCTTCTATTTTACCCCATCAATTCCTTTCTTTTGTTTTTGTTTCTTATTTTCTTATTTTTCTTCAAGAGGGGATACCCTGAATTTTGACTATAAAATCATTTCATCATATACAAATAGGAAACTAACGCATTCTCTTAAGTGTAAACTAAAAGCCCCTTTTTTCTCCCTTCATTTCATCCTTAAATGCAGTGCAATATTCGTCTAGGAAAATCGTTCTTTGGCAACGATTTTT